CGTGCAAGGTTGAGAATTCCAAGGTAAGTTTGATACAAGCATTGTAATATAAGGGTCACCAACTTTGAAAATTTTAAAACGCATATAGCATATGGAATTTCACCATCTTTCACAAAATGAATTTCGCTGACGCTTATATTTGAGTAGCTATAACAACCACGCAAACTATTGATCATTCTTTGTAAAACATTACGTTATGTATGGTACGTGGTATCGAGATCCCGTCGTCGATTTAAAACATTACGTTATGTATGGTACGTGGTATCGAGATCCCGTCGTCGATTTAAAACAGAAGTAAATTATTATGTATGTATCCCTTACACAATTATGACAAATGTCAGTATATTTGTTTTCCTTTTTGGGTAACTTGAGAGTTCAACTTGTTTATGCTGCAGCTTCGTAATTTTAACAGTATTCATAATATATATAATAGAACAAACTAACTACAACTTGGTTACTAAATGCCACAAATCCTGGTGTAATTATATCATAAAACCGCATCGTGGCTAAACATTCAAAATGACGTGTTCATAGATAGATTAAAAATAAAACAAACATTGACTAAATACCACCAGAGACCTATAATAAGTTCATCCCCAGGTCATACTATTTTTTAAAGAGACTACGTGGGCAAATGCACGAGTAATAATGAAACGATGACGTGTGTTTAGTATTGGTAGTATTTAATTATTCATATGAAACATGACTTTGATGTGTTTTTTTCTTTTCTTTTCCTTTATTTCATTTAACTCTCTATAGATTATAAGTGGTGATATATTATAAAATAAATAATACTTTTTTGATGCGCGGAATGAGCCGTGGTCACAGATGTTACATATAGGCAACAACTATGCGGGCATCAATTGACAATTATCACCGAGAGAAAATGGCATAATACTCGTATGTTAATGTATTTAATTTAATTTAATTCAATTTTAAATTCAGGTCGTTTTTTCCTACTCACAGTTGTCGGTGAATTGCGTTTCCTCTGCTTAGCATCATCAACACATTCAACGTGAAAAATACAGGCTATTTCCTTACCTGATTCACAGCGCCACCAAGCGACAACACGCAGGATAAAATGGCGAAGAAATGGACAACATCGTTTCTCGTCTGCTGCATTGTTTTGATTCTCGTCCTTCATCCGACGCTCCTTCAGTGAAGACACAGCTCCAGATTCAGAAGAGGGTGATACAGGGTGTGGTTGCTCTGGCCTGAATCGTGGAAATACCAAGAAGATAGACAAATCCGGCGGTGAAGTGAATGATCATCATGGAGTTGAACAACACGACGAGGAACATGCGAATGAATCTCCGGCTGACAAGTATAAAGAAGAGAAAAACGTGTATCCAAGAACCAACCAAATGTCTTATATAAAAGGCGGCACGTTTACGATGGGCACGGATACACCGGGTGTACTCTTCGATGGGGAAGGTCCTGCCAGGAAAGTAAAACTCGACCCATTTTTTGCCGACAAGTATGAAGTCAGTAACAGGGAATTTCAGTTGTTCGTCGATGATAAAGGTTATGTAACAGAGGTAAGTGTACAACATCTGTTTATTTTGATTCGTTCTCGGATCACAAAAATAGTCTACGTTGTCGTATTCGTTCTCTCAAAGGCTTTGTTTGTGTATGAACTGAATGTATGAACTGTAAAAGACCTTGAGATAGCTACATATACTTTTAGCGAATTTTGCTCAATGCATGAATTACATGTAGCAGAAACTCAACTTAGTTGAAGTGTCAACAATTTCATTGTCAGAATAGTCTTTATTTTAAATTACCGACGTCTTGAATTAGCGAGATTACAGATTAGCTAAGATAATGTGCTGGCTAAAAAGGCATGTTTTACCATAGACCCTCCAATTGTGGGGAGTCTATGGTTTTACCATATATATTATAATATACTGGTAGTCTATTGTACAGCTTGCTGTAGTTGTTATATATATGTCAGGAGATTATCTCATTGGAACTGGTTACAGGTCTAAACATGGATGTACTAACAGTCGTTACAAATCATATAAAACGTAGATGTGCAACTGTCAGTATTTTCTTTGATATAGTGACAATCCTTGATTTCACACTTTTTTTACACATGTAATGTGGGCAGAATAATTTTTTACAAAAAGGTCAAAAACGTTCCATATACTAAGACAACAAGCCTGAATGCCTAGTACAAGTTGAGAAACAACAAGTACGAGTACCTTGCTTAATTAATGTAGTATGTGGAAACGGTTAGCTTGGGTTAAGCGTCCACTGAGATGAAATGGGTAGACAATGAGGCTGCATACTTCCTGTAATTCAACAACTCACACTTTCTTCATTTGTATTGTTACCGTTTTATAATCATAGAGCTAAAATGTGTACCTTCTGGTTACTGTACTGTGAAATCAAAGTTAAAAGCACTATAAACTTATATATTCTTTGTAAATTTACTAAATGTAACTGAGTCTTCAATCAAATGGGATTAGCTTTAATCTTAGTTTATACTGGAGTGTAGCCTGAACACAATTCAATAGATTTGATAATAAAATTGTAAAAATTATGCCTGAGATATGAGGGAGCAACCGCAGTGCTTTGCAATGGTACTGGTCACACAAAGTGATATTCATATAAAAAGGCCAAAAAATCAATATGATGAGCTATTTTAACCTAGTACAATTACAATGTAGCACTTTAAAGAAACAGAATTGCCTTCTTTATCACAAGGACTGAAGGACATATAACTAGATGTTTTTTTTTTATGAAAGGTATATGTCATTGACGTCTGGATATATTGAATAATTAGGCTTTTATTATCCCTTGTTTCGCGAACCCGCCGAATTAATAGGAGCCGAAAATGAAATAAAAATAAAATTTTATTTCAGCATAATTTCTCCCCCCAGCCGACTTGTAAGTGCAAGAAATTGCTAAAAAAATATTATTTTTATCTTTATTTTTTCACCGTCCGTAGCATAACAAATCCAAGTTGCATTTTTGTGGGAGTATCATGATCAAAGTACCGAAGTCTCGCGCAGATGAGAAACAAGGTTATACATGGAATAAAATTGTATTTCATTTCTTCTCTCCGATCAATGATCTCACACAAATCTAATGGGAAAAAAAGAATTAATTTTATTTATTTTTCGCCCTCCTCAAAAAAATTGCCTTATAAAAACTCGAGAAACAAGGAATAAAAAAAGTATGGCCTTACCAAAAACTATGATTACCCTACTACCTTTTCTGCCATTTAGGTCGAACCAACATCAAAAAGGGATGCCAAACCAATACTGAGGGGCACATGGAAAATTAGAAGAATTACATTTATCTTTAAATTTATTTCATCCAGTCATATAAATTGCCATATCGCAAAGTTATCAAAAAATTAAACGAAATGTATCTGACTTCATTTAAAGACTAGAGTAACTGTATTCTCTCAAAATGATTTTGTTACACAAATTGGATTTAGCTTAACAAGCACTGTTTTCAAAATAGTTTGCTTTCACCAGTTACAATCTTTTAACAATCTGTAATGCGCAAAGAAAACCAATCAGCAATACAAGCTAGCTGGCAATATTGCTGTTTTGATGTATGAAACAATATTACGGTGAAAGTAATTTATTTTCTGAGTTTCACGCTACCTCT